AGACTGTCTCAGGGAATGCCTTGGCAAATGCTGGCTGATGATTATTTATCAAATAACTGCTGATAATGAAATATGCTGTATTGTCTAGTTAGGAGCCCGGAAGGAGGAGATACAACCTTGCATTAATGGTGGAATTGCAGGCAGAGTTAATAGGTAGCTGACCAAAGCGTTTCTAGATAGAGGGGCCTTTCTGATGCCCCTCAAAATTCCAAACTCTCCACCTACACTAAGAATAAGTTACAGTGGAAACAAGAAAATGAGGGGAATCAAGTCCTAAGATCATTTATACAGTGTTCAGATCTAGTCTAACATTCCAAGACAAAAAAGCATAATAGTTGCTATTACAGAAGTTATTTGTGCTTACAAAGCATGTCCTTCCACTTTGAAGCCGAGCGTACTCATTACAGGTTGTAAGCTCCTTCAAGAGACCATTTTCTGTCTTAATGATCATTTTAGGTTCTAAAGAATTTCCTTCAGGATATAATTCAAATTCTTGCTCTTAGCACACAAGGGCTTTCATGATCCACAGCCTTGCCTCCCACCAGGCTCCTGTTTGCAAACTTCTAGTGGTTATACCCCCTAGACGCCTTACCCTGCGCCCCGACGTGCCCTTCCCCACCTCTGCTCTCCTTACCTGGGTAACATCTGCTGAGCAGTGACCTTCACAGGCAAGCTGCCCCTGACACTGCCTCCCTCTGACTTAATACCTCTCCTCTATGCATTCATCACACCACTCCGAAAACAGGGATACCTGTCACCTACACTGGAAGATGAACTCCTTGAGAGTAGGCACCATGTCTTCATTCACATTGCTTGCTCATCAAGCACAGGCCTGTTATATGGCACATGCTCAGGACAGAAGCGATCCCTGCTTTCTCGGGGTATGTGGTTAACAGGGATGGACAGTCCCATAAAAATGCATATGATGAAGTGCCACCATGAGGGCCACAGAGAGATGTTCCCACATAACGAAGGAGGAAGTCAACCTAGAGAGGCTGGGTGGTCCTCTTGGAGGATTTGAAACCACACTGAACAGTTTGGACAGGCCAAAGGCAGGGGAGCTGGGGAAATTTCAGGACAAGAATGGGAGGGTACAAGACGAGCATAACCGGGATGTAAGACAAGTGTCAATTAGGTTTCAGTGAAAATGCTCTTAGGTTGTGGAAGGGCCCAGAGGCCAAGGGCTGAGGTCAGACTACCCTGTAAAATAAGGTGGCAAATACTAAAGGTTTCTGTTTCAGGACATAAAACAATCTATTTTAGGTTGTTGGTCTGGCAATAATGTAGAAATAAGAGATCAGAGAACAGTTAAGAGGAAATTATATTTCAAAGGAGAAGCAGTGAGGGTCCAGGCTAAGGCGGATACAGAAAAAAAAGGATGTAACTCAGGGGAAGATTGGACAAAACTTAGGGACTCACACTAGAGGCAGGTGTTGAGGGGCATGCCTGCTTTACAGCCTGGGAGACTCAGAAAATGGTGATACTACTGCTTTACGTTGTGAATTTAGAGGGGGCTTAAAGACAGCTTGAAATTAGAAAAATTATAAATTGTCCATACCCTTAGTTTACCTTACTTGTGGCTAATTCTCCACCATGGAGTTCATCTAGAACCCAGTCCCAGAAAGAATCTTCATTTTCATAAGTTTAACTTCATTTAAAGTTATATTTCCTTTATTTAAGATAAACTTCCCAAAGATTACTTAGGAGTCCACAGAGCCCTGTGAAAATTTGAATGTGAAGCTAAGGACCCTCTCTCCAGAGTGTACATATTCACAGATAAAATTGTTTTTACCAGGAGTCACTCCGGAGCAGGGTTTTGGCTCCTAGATTTTGAAGGCCAGGCTTTGTACTTAATTTGATTTGTATTCTAATTAGTGATAAAGGTCATAAAGCATGTCAAATCCAAAAGTGTTTATGTATGGAAAAATCAGTAGAATGAAGATTTTAAGGTAACACAAAGAACTAGAATAGTTTAATACTACTGACAAGTCATGAAGAGAAACTGATATTTTATTTTCTGCTGAGCAATTAAATAGACATATAAAATAAGTGATAGAGGACTTGAAACCCGAAAAGCAGCCTTGAGGTTTTTTTTTTTATTTTCTTATTTTGATATCATCAATGTAAAATTACTTGAACATTATGGTTACTAGACTCCCCCCATTATCAAGTCCCCACCACATACCCCATTACAGTCACTGCCCATCAGCATAGTAAGATGCTATAGAATCACTACTTGTCTTCTCTGTATATACTGCCTTTCCCATGTCCCCGCCCCCTACATTATGTGTGCTAATTGTAATGCCCCATTTTCACCCTTATCCCTCCCTTCCCACCCATCCTCCCCAGTTCCTTTCCCTTTGGTAACTGTTAGTCCATTCTTGGGTTCTGTGATTCTGCTGCTGTTCTGTTCCTTCAGTTTTTTCTTTGCTCTTATACTCCACATATGAGTGAAATCATTTCATACTTGTCTTTCTCTGCCTGGCTTATTTCACTGAGCATAATACCCTCTAGCTCCATCCATGTTGTTGCAAATGGTAGGATTTGTTTTCTTCTTATGGCTGAATAATATTCCATTGTGTATATGTACCACATCTTTATCCATTCATCTACTGATGGACACTTAGGTTGCTTCCATTTCCTGGCTATTGTAAATAGTGCTGCGATAAACATAGGAGTGCATATGTCTTTTTCAAACTGGGCTGCTGCATTCTTAGGGTAAATTCCTAGGAGTGGAATTCCTGGGTCAAATGTTATTTCTATTTT